TGCAGGTGGACACAGTGGCGATCCTGGTGTCGTATGTGTGAAAACAGAATTTGGAGATGGTTTGAGCCAAGCTCCTTGTGGTGTAGGTAAGGAATCCGAGTCTCAGCAATGAGTCATGCCGGGTCACGTGGTCACTTGCACCCAGACTACTACTCTTTTTTTTTATTATGTTAATCACCATACATTACATCATTAGTTTTTGATGTAGTGTTCCATGATGCATTGTTTGTGCATAACACCCAGTGCTCCATGCAGAGCATGCCCTCTTTAATACGCATCACCAGGCTAACCCATCCCCCAACCCCTCCCCTCTAGAACCCTCTGTTTCTCAGAATCCATAATCTCTCATGGTTCGTCTCCCCCTCCGATTTCCCCCCCTTCATTCTTCCCCTCCGGCTATCTTCTTCTTCTTCTTCTTTTTTTTTAACATATAATGTATTATTTGTTTCAAGGTACAGGTCTGTGATTCATCAGTCTTACACAGACTACTACTCTTTGATCCAAGTCCCTATATTTCTAGGAGTAAGTTCGAGTGAATCACACTTTCCAAGGATGTGCCCCAGAGTCAAGTGGGTATTGAGTGCAAAGGGCAAAGCCAGTATCTACAGCGGCAAACAAAACAGAAATAAAACCAAAAATCCAACATTTGCCACAAGCCTACATTAGACCCAACATTATTTCTACCCATGAATTGGAGCTGCAGCGGCCATGTACGGTATGACTTCAGTGTCTTTAAGTCAGGGCAAGTGGTTCTGAAATTCCGTGGGAATTGGCATTTCCAAGGCAGCTGCCTGGGCCTGAGCCGCACGGCGCACCCGGGTTTCTGCAGGCCCCATGTTCCTACCCACGTGGTTGTTTCCATTACCACAGAGCCTGCTGGGGCTTTTCCAAGCTGGACCCTGGGCTCAGACACGAGTCCATGGAGGCAGCCTAGTCCTGAATGAGACCCATAGGCCACTTGGATGACACTAAAATAGACATGTGAAGTCCTGGCTTAGTTGACAGGGAGGGAGGGCCGGGAAGCTGTTCCCAAACACATCCACCTGATGGAAATATCCTGAGCTGGAATGAGCCGTAAATAAACTAGACTGTGCTAAAAACAAACATCTCCAGGGAGTTGGGGGGCAGGCAGAAATAGATGCTCTTCACCTGCTGAAAGTGAAGTCAAGGTCAAGGGGGAAAGGGCGAGGAGGGATGGGGAGAGGTGAACAATGCAGATGCCTCAGCAGGGAAAGCGACTGATAATTTATGTTCACCGAAGAGTTCTCCAGTTTCCAAGAAGAAATAAGAGAATTGCTTTAAATGATTCAGGGTCTTTCATCCATGGAAGCCCACAGAGAATGTGGGGGTGAAGGGAGGGCATATATGGTCTGGAAAAATCAATAGTGAGGAGTGCATATTAGCCACATGAATGTGCCAGCCTCCGGTACTCCTGGCGGGTGGAGACTTTGCGGAAAACCGCAACCTCAGCCCTTAGCCGTCTGCTGAGGCCAAAGAGCAGGAAAGGAGAAAATGCCTCTGGGGCGGGCGGGGGGACGAGGCGTTGAGAGGGTTCTGGAGGGCTGATGTGTGGCTGCCACCTTCGCCCTGCACCCAGGGCAGGGGGACACCATGGAAGCTGCCCTTCTGAGCTTACTCAACACTCTAGGAAAGACACTTGAATGAATTTGAAGAGGAATATGATTGGCACTGATGTCAAGTTTTATAACAACAAAGCTGTCGTATTTTACCCCCTGAGAGAGAGAAAGCAGCCCATGACAGGTGGAACAGATCTGCCGCTCACAGCTAGGCCCCGGTGTTCTGTTGGATGAAAACCATTTCGTAGAACAGCATCAGACAAAGGCCAGTCTGCGACTGTGACAGCCCATGACAGAAACAAGGCCACTGTGTCACCGTACCTGACACAGACAAAACAAGACCTCCATCCAACTGCAAACATGGCCAACCATCCCTCTGTCCTTGCTAATATGAGTGACGGTTTCTGCTTTATCACCCACAGCTTCTGTCTCCCCCTGCTCTTCTCTTCTAGATAAGAATTAAGGTAGTCATAGACTAACTTCCCGACCACATTCAGTCCAGAACGGAGCCAGACTTTGCTTCCTCGAGAGTCTCCCCCAGCATCACCTAGTGAATGCCCCAATCCTAGAACAAATCCTTTCTAACACCCTCTTACGAGATGCTGCACAGTCCCCTGGGGGTGCGTCCTCCCTCATGATGAGCCAATAGGGCCAGTTTTGTGCAACAATACGTGTGCTCCTGATGGCGTTTGGTTGGAAGCCCTTGATACTATATATCTCAGGTGGTAGCTATGGGAGCCACTTGCCGCCTTCTGCGCTCCTGACCTGTATTTCCACCCGCACGTGGAAGAGTGTGGAGATCAAGAGGAAGAACCCTGGCAGTTGTATGACCTTGGGCAAGTTGCTTTACCTCTCAGCCTCAGTTAACTGATCTGTAAAGTGGGGTGATGATAACAATAGTATTAACTCTCAGGGTTGCTGTGAGGATTAGGTGAATTTATATGTGTGAAGCACTTCAGTGGTGCCTAAGCATGTGGTAAGTGTTGGGGGGTTTTTTTAGTTATTATTATGAATTCGGCAAGCATTTGTGGAATATCTAGTGTATGTCAGGTACTGTGCTAGAACCTGGGGATTGAAAACTGGCTCCCATCCTCCCAGAAAGCACTGTAGTGAGGGACATACAAGGAAACTGTTTTATCCCACAGGTAAGAACTAACATGGGGGTAAGCGCAGAAAAAAAACATGGCAGGACTCTCAACCTTGGCCTGGGAAGTCAAGGAGAGCTTCCTGGTGGAGGCAGCACCTGACAGTTCTTGATGAATGAATAAGAGTCTCCAGGATTAGGCTAGGTGGGGGTGGAGGGGACGAGTGGGATAAGAGCAGAAGGGCTGTGGCAGCCATTCAAGCTCCAAAGGACTTGCTGACTGCAGGTCTAAAGCACCAGTCAAGCATCTTTCTGTATCTCCCCGCCACCCCCACGGCCTGGCCCAGTGCCTGGCAAAGCATGTGCTCGAATGAACAAACATCTAACACCAAATTTGACAGCTTTCCCCACAAACCAGTGCCTCCTCTGACTTTTCCATCTCCTACTCTGATCACTGTGGTCCCAGGTCCCTGCAACCTCGAAACCACCCTTGACCCTTCCTCCTCTTGCGCTCCTATGACCCACTGCTCCATTGCTTTCTCCTCAGTGATGTTTGCGTCGGTCCCTTTCTTTTTGTCCTCACGGCTTCCATGGCCCTGGTAGGCCACCCCCACATCTGGCTGCTGCAAGATTGTACTGATTTTTTAAATTGTGTGTGTATGTTGTATGATTTATGAATTTCATTTCAGGATCATAGAAGGGTCTTCACAAAATCTTTCTTACAAGAGGAGGCACTGGGTCAGAGAGGGCCGACGATCACTGGCACAGGCTCATGGAGGGCTCCTCCATCGGGGAGTGAGTGTGTGGGTGTGCACGGGGCCACCATTCCCGAGGAGCACCTACCAGCTGGCTGAGGTCCGCAGCCAGGTCCTGGAGCCCAGGGTGCGAACAGTATGCAAGCATGGGCCCCTGAGACATAAGACTGAAACTGCTGGGTTCATGGCCGAGAGGCATGCGGTAAAGTGACCTGCCCATATTCTGTGAGGCCAGAGGTTTGACGAAGGGGTAGAGGTGAGGGTATCATCATGAGACCCAAACTGGGAACTGTAAGGTTACAGCTTGTGGCAATTACGGGTATTACTGCTGTGGATATTCTAGTACATGTGTTTTGGTGAACGTAGACCCACTTGTCTGTTGGTAAGTACCTAGGAGTGAAATTGCTGGGCTGTAGGGGATGCCCATACTAGGCTTCAGGAGACAATACCAAGCAGTTTTCCAAGGAGGTTGAACCAACTTACACTCCCCCTGGCCAGTGTATGAGTTCTGTTTGTTCCACGTTCTTGCCAACATTTGTTATTTTCTGTCCTTTTCAGTTTAGCCATTCTGGTGGGGTATGTAGTGGTTATCAACCCAGTGTTCAGCAGCTGTGGAATGGATAAGTAGATTGTGGTCTAGTCACGCAATGGAACTCTATTCCACATTAACAACCACAAGCAATGCCCAAATGACCCACAAACGCTTTGTTGAGCAAAAGAAGCCAAACACAAGAGTTCATATTGTCTGATTCCCTTTATATAAAGTTCCAGAATAGATACAGTGATTCTCTGGGGTTAGAAGTCAGGATGGTGAAGAGGGAGGAGCACAGAGATTGGACAGGAGCTTATGGGGCTTGTGGATGCTGGAGAGTTGTGTGTTTTGATCCAGGGGCTGGCTTCGAGGGTGTGTTCACTTTGCAGAAATCTATTGGGCCATAGACTCATGATTTGCATCCTTCTGTAAGGTATACTTCAACATTGAGCGTAAACTAACATTGCACTAGGGCAAGGCCCCATGTTCAATGAGGCTATCAGGGTCCAGGGCCCTCCTTTTATCTCACACCCCTGTATTGAGTCATTAGACTGTAAACTCTTTAGTGAGCCTGGGTGACACCAACTGTGTGTGTAGAGTTTAGAGTCAAATAGATGTCTTAAATCAGGGCTCTGGGTCTCTTATAATCAACGCCACCTCCGGCCCTGGCTGCCCCCTCCCTGAACAATTCTCTCTGAGCACACTTTCTAAATAATTACCAAACGCTTCCTTCTCCTCCACTATTAGAAGTGCGTTATAAGTCTGAACTTTGCATTCCTTGTCACATCTACAAAATGACAAGTCAGTCCCTGAAGAGGGAGAAATGGAACTTATTATGGTCACAGTGTCCATACCATCTGCTTGTTTATTAACCATCTTCATTCAGCAAAGGCTGGGGGAGGACTCCATCAAGTAGCAAACAGAAGGTGCACTCATATCTAGTGGGTTAGAAATCAGATTCAGAAGTCTGGGGTGTCCACATGAGTCTCCCTGGGGTTCAGTGGGCATGACAGAGGCCCCGGCACTAATGAGCAGCAATTTTCTCTGCACAGCCCTTCCCGGCCTGGATCAGAAGAAGCGTGGCGGCCACAGAGGATGCTGCCTCCTGATGCCCCCTCCACCCCCACTGTTCCCACCACCATTCTTCAGAGGGGGCCGAGGTCTGGTGAGTACCTTAGGGCTTGTGAAAAAAACAGAAATGCAGGCTCCCCAGTGCCCGCCACACAGCCCCTCACGTCCCCCCACTTGAGGTGAGCGACCTCCAGATCCTTCTTGAGGGATCCAACCCATTACTTTCACACAGCAGGTTGAACCCTAGAATGGGCATTTTGCAGTTTCTGGTGTGTGTCTGTTCTCGCACTGTCTTCAGTAAGTTATGGAGGGAGATTCTTCTCAGCAGGAAGTTGAATTTGACATAGCATCCCGACTTCCTGAAAACAATGAGGTGAATTTAGAGCTTTTGAGGCTCCCTTCAGCTGCTCAGATACGGAATTTCCCCTTTCTTCCCAAGTATTTATGAAATTCCCTTCCACAGCCCATATTGAATGTAGGCTGTTTCTGTGAGGGGACACAGGACATGGTCCCTCGATAGCCATACTGAGGTGTGAGAGGGAACAGAATTTGGGAAGAGGGAGAGAGCAGGATTTGGGAAGCTGAGCTAGAAGACAGTGGGCCAGGATATTCTAGGGACCTGGGATTCTCAAATTTTTCCAGAAATTCTAAGACCTGTACTGTCCAATGCAGCCACTAGCCATCCGTGACTTAAACACTTTTCGTGTGGCCAGTTCCAGTTGAGATGTGCTGTACGTATGGAATACACACTGCATTTTGAAGACTTAGTGTGAAAAAAGAATAAAATGTCTCATTAGTAATTTTTAAATATTGAATAGATGTTGAAGTGATAATATTTGGGACATACTGGGTTAAATATATGATTAAAATTAATTTCACTTCTTTCTTTTTACCTTTTTTATGTGGCTACCAGAAAATTTAAAACTACATATGTGGCTTGCACTGGTGGCTTGCATTTTTTCTGTCGGACAGTGCTGTCCTAGACATTGGATAAAGGCCCCTGAAATGAGCTTCCTAACTCCATCCAAAGTGGCTATTCTATCTCTGTAATCCATTCAAGCCAGGTATGTCTCAAGAGAGAACAGGAACTGGAGGCCCAGAAGGTCGTCTTCTTGGGACACTCTTTAGGGTGTCAGGGAACCACTAGTCTTGAGGACTGGACTGGGGAGCAGGACTGTGTCCAGGTGGTGACCCTTCTTCTGTCCCCCAAGTCTGACCTATCACCCTGTGTTGCTTTGCATTGAAGCTTCTCTCCCCAGACATGAAGAATCTCATCCTGGAACTAGAGACCACGCAGTCCTCATGCACGCAAGGATCGCTCGGCTCCCCTGGGCCCCCTGGCCCCCAGGTTGGTGCATTCCACCAGATCCTCTCCTGCGGTCTTCTCTTCAGAGCAGTGAAGCCCACTGGAAAGAGTCTCTTAGAGCTGCCCCTTTTAAAGTGATATGGGGGCTGTTTTTCCTTCTCTAGCTCACCTCCAGCTCCAGAGCCACGTGGATAATACACTGATTCTTCTGCTCTGGGTAAATTCTGGCCTCCCAGCCTTGATTTCCCCATCTCTGCAACGGGGATAATAATTACCCCTGCAGTACTGGATTTTGGTGGTGGTGAGGGGTCCAAATGAGCTGCTGCCCAGATGGATGTAATTGTTACTATAATTATCATCAAACACTTGGCAACAGGGGGTTGCCCCTTCTGTGACCATTGACCCTTGCCAGTTGCCCGAGAAGTGCCTGCATTTGGTGCAGGAAAGTGGAACTGATGGGGAACTTGTTACTCTGAACTTCATTTGGCCCCCAGATCCTGCAGCCAGGCAGCCCACCGCTCCCCACTGAAGCTAAAGGGCAGAGTGAGGAATAGGCACAATGGTGGAGAAAGGATTTTCTAGGCAAACAAGAATACCCTCCAGAGACCCTGTCTCACAGGCCGTGGCTCCTCTGGCCTGCCTGGGAGTAGGGGTCCATCAAGGAGGAGCACCCCCTGGCCTGGGCCTTGGGGCCTGCCATGGGGTGGGGAAAGAGGGTACAAGCAGCCGTCAGTTGCCCACATGCCTTATGAATTCTGTCATTCCTTTCTGGGTAACCCCCTCCTATGGCTTCCCATCACGGGAGACTAAGGGCCAAAGTCCTCGCCCTGGGTTACAGAGTCCCCCACCCCCGAGGACCCTGCCTGTATCTCCTGCATCGTTTCAGACCACCAATATTGCCCACCCAATGCGCATCTCTTGGGTCCTGAAGCATGCCAACCAAGCTTGTTCCAGCCTTAGGGCCTTTGTGCTTGTGGTTCTGGCTGTGTGGAATGTTCTTCCCTCTGATTTTCACCACGGCCAGCTCCTTTGTCAGAACAGTTTACAGTCCAGCTCCTTAGAAACGCCTTCCTCAACCACCCAGTCTAAAGTAGCCTTCCCCCCTTCACTGTCCATCCCAATGGCCTGTTGTAATTCTCTGCATCATTTTCTCATCTCGCTGTTGCGTTCTTATTGGTTTTGTTATTGTCCCTGGTCTCTTTGGTCTTCCCTTTGTAAAATATAAGCTCTCTGGCAAGGACTGGCCTACTGTGGCCTACAGGTCTGGCGGCCGCCTGTTTTTGTAATCAAAGTTGGACTGTCTCGGGCTGCCTTTGTGCCACAAGGGCAGAGGTAAGTGGCTGTGACAGGGACACTATATCCGAGGCAGAGTCTACAGTATTTATTGTTTGCCTCTTGACAGAGACAGTTCACCCACCCCTGGTCTTGAGAGCAGGGACATTGCCCATCTTGTTCACATGTTGCGCCCAGCCCACGCCAGGGCACGGGTTGTCGTAAGCTCTCCATAAATATTTGTCAAATGCAATAAAAACAGGCCTTTGGACCCAGAATTAGCTGGACGCTGCCACAGAGGGGCTAGGAAGTCTGCAGAAAGGCAGGATGGGCCCCCTGAGGGGCACCTCCGCTGAGAATTTCCATCTTCCCGCGTCTGGCAGTCTCCTCGGGTCTCAGCACACACACGTGAGGACCAGAGAGCTTGGGAGGGAAAGGGGAATTCTCTACTGACTTCAGACCAGCAGCTGTCCAACCGTGCTTGTACACCTCGAACCTCACGCAATCCCTTTGAGTTGTGCGGAGATTGTGCTGCCCAGCTGGGGTGGGGGGGATTTGCAGCCCCCTCCGTTGCCTTAGAACACAGCGTAAAATGCTGTTCCCAAGCAAAATGAGACCTGTGGACCAGTAACATTGGCATCACCTGGGAGCTTGTTAAAAAATGCAAAATCTCATTCTCCCCTCCCCCTACATACACACACCCCTGCTATCTGAATCTGCATTTTAACAAGACTCCCCTGCTGCATTATCTACACATCACAGCTTGAGAAGCTCTGAGCTAGAGCACAATGGCCTGATAATAAGAAATGAGAGAATGGAACAGTATTCATTCATCCTGCCTGGCATGTGCACGGTCCTGGGGCTCTCTGTCACCCTGGGCTCCCAGGCTTTGGGGAGTGGGGAACCTCTGCCCCTCTGAGTCACACTTTCTGGGAGCACTGGTGCCCCCCTGGGCTTTGATCCTCGAGGACTTGTATACCCTGCACCTTGTGCTATCCGCCCAAGCTGGCCCACGCAGCTCTGAAGTGAAGGCATGCAGCACTGAGGGCCAGGTGGTGGGGCCAGTGCAGTCCCCAGTGGGTCACCAGATGGGTGGGTGGCTGGGGAGGGAGGGTGGTGAGGCCACCCTCCCAGGAAGCCCTCTTTCCACACAAGGATGCCCAGATCAGGAGGAGTGGGGAGAGAGAGAAGTGGGGAGGAGGGGAAGGTGGGAGGGTGAAAGAAGTGGTGCGGTGGAGGGGAGGGGAGGGAGAGAAGGGGGAGAGTAGGAAAGGAAATGAAGTAACTCTCCCTCCACCCCACGCTCCCCCAAACCAGAGACTGTGGTTCCCAAACTTATCTGTTCATTGGACTTCCCTGGGAACTTCAAACATTCCTGAGGCTCGTGCCCCTCTCCTCGAGATTGTGATGTAATTGCTCTGGGGTATGCCTTGGTGTTGGGGATTTTCAAAACATCCTCAGGGGATTCTAATGTGATAGGTGTGGGAGCCGCTGAGGGAGCTGTTTGGTATTTGGACAAGTCTTACAGGAATCAGATTTCAAACAGGCTTTGTGTCAGGCGTGTTCACCTGCAGATCTTGGGGATGAAGTAGTGGCCTGGTGGGGGTTGATGGATTTCCTCTCTGCTGTACTAGGGCATTTGGAAAGCAGTTAGCCTACTGAGCATTTCATAGACGTGTGAGCACAGAGTAGCTGCATTCTGGCTGTGGATGTGCCAAGCTTTAGTGTAGTAGGTGCTAGAATCCCTGAGCTGGAGTCAGCCCTACTCCTGTGGCTGGACAATGGGACAAAAATGCTCCATTGCCTATATTCTTCACATCTTCAGGAAGGCTTTCCCTGCATCTGGTGCCCATAGATCCAGCACAGGAATTTCTAAGTTGGCTGCTCCTGTGTGCAAAGCAGAATGTCCCCCCTGTCAGGGTCCCAGGGAAAGTTGGTGAGAGCAGCTGAAAAGATAAGAGAGGTGGTAAAGACTCTGTAGTTGTAACCATGGCACCACTGGAAACGTAGCTCAGAGAAAGCTGGAAGAGGACAGGGAGCCTGGGTTGGAGGGCACCAGGGGGGTCCTTCATGGGGTCCTTGGAACCCTGAGTCTGCACAGGGAACCAAACTGCTGGAGGAGCCTCCCTCCCAGTCCTGCCTCCCTCACCACCTGTCCTGCCTTGGTTTGATATATACTTTTTCATTTCTTATCTTGATGGTGTAGGGCCCACCGGGACTTCCTGGCAAGATAGGACCAAAGGGAGAAAAGGTATGAGCCACTACTTTCTTCAGTCCACCTCTCCTTGGTAATTCCAGCCTGTATCCTGGGGATGCCATGGAGAATTTTCTGGTTGAGATTTCAAAGCATGTGCTAATTTTGCCCTATTAGTGCATGAGGATGGGCTCCATAATGATGGGGCTGCTACTGCAGCCGTGAGATCCCACTGGTGTATTTCAGCTTGGCCCACTGACATGGCAGGGGTGCTGTGAGCGGCCAAGCAACCAAGCCACATGGTCATGCCCAGCCATCAGCCCTACTAAGCTCTGTGCTTCCAGAACTTCTCTTCCAAAGCAGCCTCTGCTTACCTGTCTTCTTCATCCACAGGGGGAGCTTGGCCTACCAGGAAGGAAGGTATGGTCCATGCTGTTCTGTCAGCATTACATGGGCAACTGTGCACCGCGGGCGGGGGGAGGGCGTGTGCCTGGGCATGTGCGCATGCGCTCTTAGGGGTAGGGGGGGACTAGCAGTGCACTTCCTTGGGCCACAATACTCAGGTGGACAATAATAACACTGCCATTTTGATGATGACAGTGGGCTCTTTCTGCCTGTTCTTTTGCTCAAGAGCTAGAGCCTGCTACTACCAGACATTTGGATTTCTCCCAGGGGCTGCCAAGCCTGGCCAAATTTCCCCCAACCTCAGACCATCGCATCCTGCCACCCATTAGAGAAACCCTCCAAGGCCCCAACCAGTGGCACAAAATGACTCTCGCTGTCTATTTGATTACGCTGGAACAAAGTGCAAAACAGAAGCAAATGGCTTTTGCCTTTTGGCCCAGCTGAAATAAATGGGAGTTACTTAAGGTCACAGGCACTCTGAGTGAACAAAACACATGTCATCAAGACTCTCATTCATGTCAGGAAAGAGTAAACCAGCAGCCACTCACTGTGGTCAATGGATACTGGCACTGAAACTGTGGGTCTCGGGGGTAGAAGGAGGTGCAAGACTTTGGCCAAAAAAGATGTCCATGATTGTAAATATAAATTACTATTTTTCTGGTTAAATGTTTTACTCAAATGGTTTCACTATCAACAGAAGCCTCAAACAGACCTTTGCAAAGCAAAATTACGTCCCTCCAGGGCCCAGATCACAGCTCCAGCTGAGGCACAGTGGTTATCTGAAGTGCTGGGCTGGAAAGGATTCTGGGATGGTCTCCATACTCAGAACTAACGAGAACCATGATTGATCATGGGCTGCCATGAACGTCATGACCTCTGCCATGAACAGGGGCGGTGAGAGCAGAAACCAGTACACATGCCAGCATTTGTGATCTCTGGTTTAAGGGTTGAGCCTTCCACGTGTCTAGCTAGGCTAACTGTGAAATTAGCCAATGCGTGCAGAGGTTGAGATGGACCCCAAGTCCCTGCTCCCGCTTTCTCTTGTGAGGCTTGCTCTTCCATAGCTCCTGGCTTAGGCTCGTTTCCCTAGAAGCAGAGGTAGAGGCCACGTGTGCCATGTGCAAGTGAATGACTTATGGGAGCGCTCTCAGGAGGATCCTGGGGGGAGGGGGAGCTGGATGGTGCAGGGGAAGAAGCCCAGCTTGGGCACAGTGTCAGATGAAGTCCATCTTCAGCCTCATTCCTAGGGGAGCTCTGGAGTGTGAACTGCACCACAGAGTTTGTCCTGCCTTGAGGCAAGGGAGTTGGGCTGTTGGCTGCAGGGAGAACAGGTACATAAATTGCTGGGCAGCTCCAATTGCCCATGGGCAAATTTCACAGTTGCAGGTTGCAGGAATGAGAGGTGGCAGCAAGGCAGGTAGCCCCTGGGGGATGAGCACAGTGAGCAAGTGAAAAAGTTTTTGAGGGAGTACCAACAGCATCTGCTAGTGCACCCCAAACAAAATCCTATCCCATTCCACACTGTATCCTTGGGGAGAACCTACTGCAATGCAAGGAACATTTGGGTGGGTGGAGGTGATAAAGCTCAAAAACCAAGAAGTTTAGAATCCCTTCTCCACCACCTTCCTTTCATTTCCTCCCACCTTCTATTTCTTGGGTAGAATAAGATCTTCTATGTTGACATAATGTGATGCCAAGGACTTGAACTTATACCTAAGTAACCCAACTTCCGAGGCTATCAGTCTTTGGAGGGTGAACCCAGACACCATGCTTAGGGACCCCACAGTTCCCTTTGGACCCCCAAAACAAATCTTATTTCCTGGAAGGAGGGAAAGAAACCCAATCATCCTGACTTTTGTTGTTCATTTTTGAAGGGTAGACCTGGCCCCCCGGGTGTTCCTGGCATGCCCGGGCCAGTCGGCCCCGAAGGACCCAGGGTAAGTTTGGCACACTCTCGGGGTTCACGTGGTATCAGAACATGAGGGGAGAAGATGTCAGCCCCTCTGGCCTTTGGCACATAGTGAACTCATTTCCTTGAGAGGAGGAAGGAGAAGAGAAGATGAGGATTGCCCAGAGGTCCCAATACTTTCTCCTTCACTTGGACTACAAGACCTTGGTCCATGCAACAGCTCTGCTCCTGTTGGGGGGAGCAATGAGGGTCTGCTCCCCTCTTTCACAGGGGCCCTGGTTCTCCTTCGTCCTCAGAGTTAGCATACAATCTTTCGTTTCCCCAAGATGACCCCAAGAGGGGCTTGGGTCTGGAAAGCTATTGGCAGGAGACTGGGGGGTGGGGGGTGGGCCCTGGCTAGCTGGAAAGACTGGAATCCTACATTTAGACACAGGGATTGCCAAATGCCGATAAAATCCCATTCTTCAGACAGATTATGGGAAACTGACACATTCACATCCATGCCTTTATTTATATTCTTCTCACTTTGGTCATAAAGTATTGGGTGTAGATTTGACCTGCAGAAATCAGGGATGGGCAGGTGAATGTCTTCATGCTCTGATTTACTTACCAGCTGTATTTATTATGGGAATAGAAAACTGTGCTCCCCGCGCTCTTAGGAAAAGTGCCAAGGATATTTTTTCTAAAAATCCACTGTGTAGAGCTAAACTGTCCAATATGGCAGCAACTAGTCCTTAAAATGTGGCTGGTACAACTGAGGAACTGAATTTTTTATTTAAGTTTGAATTTAAAGACCTTTACTCAGTTCAGTTATTTGAAAATCTTTAAGCATGTTTGGAGCAACTTGAATGTGTGAATCTGCTTTTTCAACTCTAAATTTTATGAAATCTAAATACAGATCAAATATTTTGATGAAAATTTAATGCCTGAATTGAGATGTGACTTAAATATAAAATACACAACAGATTTCAAATATGTATTATGAAAAACAGAATGTAAAATACCTCACTAATTTTATATTGGTTATATGTTCAAATGATAATTAGATTAAATAAAATGTTATTAAAGTTAATTTTACCAGTTTTAATGTGACTTCTAAAAAATTCTTAATTAAGTGCAAGTACCTTATATTTCTACTTTTTAGCCCTGGTATATAATTTTTAGCACAGATGGTACAGAGGCCACCCATGAGCCTTAGCCCCCTGTCTCAGTAATGCATGCCCAGAGGCTGATGTTCACTCTGTTTGGCTGCAAACCTAGGGTGAGAGTATATGGAAATGCCTGAAAGGCCCTCCCTATGCAAAGAACAAAGCAGGTGAAGTTTTCTTGGGGTGCTGACACTTAGTCCTATGAGGCCCCAGTGCCCCCATGCTCTCTCCCCACCCTCTCACAACACACTCCAGGAATAGATGGAGCATTTATAGCATCTCAGCGTTTAGTTTGGAGATCTGCTCTGCCTGGGGCAATTTCATTTTATGTTAGTCTCAAATACCAGAATAAAATATGGACCATAGAGCCTTGAACCCCTGGGAGTGAGCAAGGGGGCATGTGGGGTCCTCAGATTCACCAGCCAGCCCCAATGTCCCTAGTTCCATCCTAATCTTGCCCATGATTCTCCTGGTTCTGTTTCTCTAGTAAAAGTCACTGTAGGTCCTTTCCCCTTCTTCTTCTAATTCCCACAGGGTGAAAAAGGTGACCTGGGTATGATGGGCTTGCCAGGGTCAAGAGGACCAATGGGCTCCAAGGTCAGTGTGTTGGTCCAGGTGGACATTCCCAGGTCTTCTTACTAAGGTTCTGGAACAGCTGCTGTCCACAAAGTCGGGACTGGGTGGAGCTGCCGTCCCAGGTTTGGGGAACGTCAGAGATATTGGAAAGCCCAGTGCCAGAGTGCTTGCCTTTATCAGCCCTTTGGGGGACATGATGCCTGGGACAAAGGGCATGGAGATGACCTTCTCCTGGGCAGGGAGAGTCCAGCTTCTGAACAACAAAGCAGATGGAAACCTTTGTTCGGACCTTTGTGGTTAAGAAAAGCAATGTTCTTTTTAGGCCTGGTATAAACATAACCCTCAGGGACATCTTTGTGTTTACTGTTACAACCCCCACTAAAACTTGCAGCACCAGGTGGGGACACACCTCACCATCATATTCAGGGATTCCTTCCACTCTTGCACCAAACCCAAAGGTCCTATAGGGCTGATCCTAAATGTACCTTTTCCTTTCTTTTAGGGTTACCCTGGATCCAGAGGGGAAAAGGTTAGTGTTTGTCTCTGGTGGCTTCCCAGAACCTGGTCTGGGCTAATGGCTCTGGGGTCAATGATAAGCAGAGGACAGGCCCAGGTTTCTCTTAAGTTAGTGACTATAGTGACCATTCCTAGATATTCCCCTGTCCTTCGTCATTGGGCTGAGAGAGCAGTGAGGGGTCTCCGGAGGCAGGGCATGGGCAAGGGAGGAGCTCCAGTGGAGGTAGAGGCCTCTCACATGGAGCAGATGAGCAGTTGAAGGTTGTGCCCGGTGGAGAGGGAGCACTGCTTGCTTGGGGGCTACTGGAAGAAGATGGCTGACGTGTGTCTTTAGATTAAGCTTCCATCACACAACCCTCTCATCTGTCAAAAACCAAACCAAACCAAACAAAAAACCCAGCCAGAAACTGGGGACAAATTTCCTACAGGATGAGAGAGGATCTGGGACCCAGGATTTTCTGTGAGTTGTCTTTCATTAATGCAAAGGGTCTTTGTGGTCCAAATAAAAGGTAGATCACAAAGCATTCCTTCCTTGGGCAAGTCGCCTAATCTCTGAGCCTACTTCTTTGCCTGTAAGATGAGGTGTTGGCTTAGGGAGCTTTCATTGTGAAATGCTCCAATTTTCCCCCCAGGGTATTAACTCTGACTCTCTGCTGTGGTTTCCTCCTAGGGATCCAGAGGTGAAAAGGGTGACCTGGGTCCCAAAGGAGAAAAGGTAATGGCCTTTGCATGGAATGATAAACTACAATGGAAGTGGCAGCCCCTTGTGGGCTGTCCAGCTGACTGGCTGGCTGACTGACTGGGCTCTTATCTTGAAAATGGCAGACCACACTCTTCCACAGCCCTCTCAGGTCCTCTCTGAAGAGATAGTCACTCTGTGTGTCACTCTCTTCACAGGGTTACCCGGGATTTCCTGGAATGCTGGGGCAGAAAGTAAGTACTTAAAAGTAGTAAGAAGGGGCCTCGGTAACAAATTAGACCTTCTACGCACTACACAAAGAGCTCTGCCTCTCTGTCCATCAGGCAGAGAAAGTGGGTTTTTCCATGGAAGGTTCTGGTTTGGAAGAGGAGCAAGTTGCCGTGCACATTGATGAGAGGGTGCCAACATGGTCTGAGCCCTCCCTCCGATTCAGTGGGAGGGAGAGGACACCCCATCCGGGTAGAGAGGCCTTTCTTTGCATCTCCTGCCTCTCAGATGGCCATGGTAACATTCAGAAGCAGAAGGTATCGTGACAGAGGGATCAGATCTGAGCTGCCATGGTCGTGGGCCCCCGTGTGAGGCACGGGCATCTTTGGCCTAAGGCCATTGCTGGCAGCACTCAACTCAGACCTTCTTCAAGGGCACCCTTGGTACGCAGAGTTATTTTAGTTAAATTTTTTATTTAAACGGTTAAATATTTAGTGTGATTTCATGGATATCTAGCTGGGAACAAGGCTTACTAAATATGGAGTTCATTCAGTTGACTTGAAGAAAAATATCCAAAAACTAACAATAGAGTGGTATGTAGATACGACAAAAATTGTGAAAGTGGCAATTGACTGGCAGATTTCCGGAAACTTCTACTTAAGGTTAGGGTCTGGCGAAGAATGGGGGTGGTGAGAGGAGGTGTCAGGGGATAAAGAGAAAGCGTGAGAGTGTACCTAACTGGCCACTGAAAACACCTCTATCTAACGTTGTAATGGTGGTTCCTCATGCTGAAAGCCAGTTGACCTGGGAGGTTGTCATTTTTCCCCAAGCCTCAGAGCATAGTATTCTTTAAACATGCAAATGAATGCTTTCTTAGAATCCCAATTGTTTTTCAAGTTTATCTTAAAGTTTTCTTTTCCAAACTAAAACAATTTTTGTCTGACGTTCATCCAGGAGAACATATTTAAAGAATTTCAATCATCTGACAGTAATTTATTATTATTTATCACTGCCTTAAGCAGTTCCTGCTATTCTCTAAGTGGAATGTTGGGTTAAAAATAAATAATTACATAAGCAAGTTAAAGGAAACATTAAAAGAGAAAAAATAATAATTTGATTTAAAAATATTTAGGCTAGGTTTTCATTCAGTGCAAGAGTGAACATCAAAGAATAATAAATTATTGTGGAATTAAGTATGACAGCTTCTCTGGCCTCTGCACCCTTTACTGGACTTGCCATCTAGAGTTCTCTTTCCCTTTCATGGCAGGCTGTTTTGAGACAAAGATGATATGATAACAATAATTAGGTCTTAGAAATTAGATCAAGAACTTACTGGCTGCTTCCAGTTGATGAAGAGAGGGGCCAAACTTCCTTCTGCCAATCTTTAAAAAGAAACAAAAAACAAAACCAAAAACCACTTATACTCTTTATGCTGCTGTTTTGTCCAAGCCAGACAAAATACCCCGTGACCCTCTCTAAACAGCTGAGGAGAATTGTACAAACATCTCTGTAGCCACATAGAATCCGTGTTATCCTCCCCACACTTTTGAAATGCCTAGATGCTGGAGGACATGACGGTTGGGAAGAAATCACAGGTTTAAGAACAATTCTTGGTGTGGCAAGATGTTGATGGCTTGGATAGGGAAAAGTTTGTTACATTGGCTGAGTGACAGATAATTTCAGAGCTTTATGCTTGGTCCTTACTCTGTATTAGTTTTTTCTGAAATTTTCTATTGTGTTTTACTTCCTCTGACTTCCATGTGGAGAGCCTTCTGGGTGTTTGTTGTTCTCTCTGAGTGCCTGGGGTAGCTCTTCATGGACACTGACTGCTGACTAACAGAAACTCTCATGGTTGCTCTTGCTAAACTTAGCTTGGTGGTGGTGCATCCTGGGCTCTAGAGGGATAACTGGAGGTAGGAATGATGTTCTGTGGGGTCCCTGACCCAAAGAAACAACAGGTGGCCCTGCAATTCCAGAAGAACACGGGGAAGGAGAGAAGCTATAATGGAGAAATGGGTTTGACAAAAGGTTGGCCTTAAACTATGGAATTCTGCAATTGGTGCATTTGGTTCTGATAGCTCAGAGTAGGGCTTTTCAATTAAGAGTGCTGTTGACATTGCTTTCCGTGCCTTTTACAATAATTATATTGAGCAGGGCGCCTGGGTGGCTCAGTTGGTTGAGCGACTGCCTTCGGCTCAGGTCATGATCCTGGAGTCCCTGGATCGAGTCCCGCATCGGGCTCCCCGCTCAGCGGGGAGTCTGCTTCTCCCTGTGACCTTCCCCCCTCTCATGTGCTCTCACTCTCTCAAATAAATGAATAAATAAAATCTTTAAAAAAAAAATTAAAAAAAAATTAAAATTAAAAATAATAATAATAATAATTATATTGAGCATATGAATATATGTCTGGAATATTTTTCTCCACAGTTTTCAACTAACTCAAATGAAAGTGAGCTGGAACTAAACCAGTTTTTACAGAAGAGTAGGCAAATGTATAACGCTAAATAAATGTCCTTACATGTGGAGAAAATTTCCAAAGATGCTAGTTGTCAAAACTGTGTTCAATCATTCAAAAACTCATAGATTGGAATTCATGCTAAAAACGAAACACAACATACAATTTTGGCTAAAAGAGAAAGCATTTTTCCCCGGCAGCATGCCATGTCATAGGCACACATGTCACTGACATGCAGGAATCTCCTACTTTGGCCATTCAGGATTGTGATTTGGGACACCAAAACGTGTGCTGCCCAGCAGCTGTCTCTTTCAGATAATAAATAACCCACTTGGGGTAACCTTCTCCTTTCCTTCCTCTTCCTTGAAAAACCTATCTACCTTTCACATGACTTCATCACTTTCCCAATCTCCCACATTGGCCAGTTGGAAGAGGTCTAGAATGATCAAGTGCACTGCCCTCATGACCAATGATTGGATGGACCTATAGAGATGTGCCTGCTCCACATGCCCTAATTCTTTTCTTGCTTCTCTTTCTTCTTTCCAGGGTGAAATGGGTCCAAAGGGTGAGCCTGGGATAACAGGACCCAGAGGACCCAGAGGAAGACCAGGAAAACGAGGCAAGCTGGTAAGGATCCCAGTGCTTACCATGCCCCTGAAGTCAGACCCTCCTGATGTAGGCAGGTGGTATAGAGAGGCAGACAGCTGAAGCCAATCAGAAATATTCCATAGGCACAGTCCCCAGTGTCGTCGAGGCTGGAGGGCAGAAAGAGCACCACTTCCAGGAGCTTCTGTTTCTCTAGGCTAACCAAGGGTTGAAGCAGGTGGGAGCGAATGCTCCATTCAAACCGTGTCCAAGGCCAGAAGTAAGAGTGGATCTTTGGTTCATAAGAATGGGTCCATCTTAACCAAAGCAACTGGGAGTAGAAGCCAGATCTGGTTGTTCATCCAGAAAACTTGCTTTTTGCCTCAATGCCCCAGACACAAATGGAGTTTTGGAGAACAGCCTAAATATCTCCTTGCTGTTGAAGGGTCTTCTGGGTCTCAAGGATACAGTGGTTTTTCCCAGGCCCCTGAGAAATCAGACACCCGATTTGTAAGTGACTCCACTCTCTTTATGGGCGCTATTATGGACTTAGGGAAGTTGTTTGAAATCCCCTGGTCAGAAGGCATGGGTGTCAAACCATGTGATGTGATAGGGAATGGAAAGATGAAGGCATGTTTGCCTTAGCTGGCTTTAGAGCTGTGTTGAGTGCCTCAGAGAAACTCCTCATCTGTTCTCTAATGGACAGGCATCCTTTACTTTTTTGGTTGTCGGGGTTGTAGGCTTTTTACTTCTTTTCCCGTTACAAGTGTACTATATGCTCATCACAGAAAACTTGGAAAATTCAGAAAATAGGAGGGAAGTCATCTAAAGGCCTAACACCCAGACATAACCATTTCGGTGTACTTCCTTCCAGTGTTATTTCTTTGTGAACTTCCTAGTTGTTCATGTCTTTTATATCCAATATATAGTTGTTGTATCCTAAAACTGTAACTTAAAATCACAGCATACACATTTTTCCTCATTACCGCACATATTGTTTTTTTTTAAGATTTATTTATTTGTGAGAGAGAGCGAGCATGCACACGTGTGCGCAAGTGGGGGGTGGGGAGGTGCAGAGGGAGAGGAAGAGAATCCTGAGCAGACTCCCCGCTAAGCACGGAGCCCGACAGAGGGCTCGATCCCGCGATCCTGAGACCACGATCTGAGCCAAAACCAGGAGTCAGACACAACCAACTGAGCCACCCAGGCACCCCCTCATTAAGCACTTTTAAACATCTTTTTAAAATGTCTGCAATCACATTTTGTAAATGAGTAAGCAGTAGATTGCTTGGACAAGAGAGGCCTAGCCAAATTATATATAATGCTGAGAGGTGAACATCTTTGGGTGCAAACTTTTCTCCATTCTTATGTTTTCATTCTTTCCCTAGCCTAGATCCATGGTGCTCAAACTTTAGCGTCTGAGTAAGCTGGGGGCCGATGCAGGTTTTCTGCCTCAGGTGCCATGGTTGTAGTTCAAGGTTTGCCTCTCATGACCCCCAGTGCCTGGGCCTTACTTCCCAGTGCATCTGATATAATTGACCTGGCTTGGGGCTCCAGCATGGGTGGTTGTTTTTTAAAGCTCTCCGCATGACTCTTTTTTTTTTTTTTTAAAAAAGGGATCATGACCTGAGCTAAAGGCAGATTCTTAACCGACTAAGCCACACAATTGCCCCTCTCCACATGATTCTAGTATGTAGCCAGGGTTCAAAACAATGGTAACAGTAGTATGAAACCAATTCTGGTCTTTTCCAAGCAAACTTAGGAATGACACAGCATCCAACCTGAATACAAATTCCACTATAACTTCTGAAGTAGTCCAGTTCAGTTTTCTAAGTCTTAAATGGCTGGCATGTCCATGACTTCACAGGGATGCCACAATTCCCTAAAAACTTGGCTCGGGAAAAGGAGAAAAAAAAAAGGAAAATCTTTTTCTTCCCTACTGCTGGATTCCATGCAGAATGTTTTATGCTTGGGGTTCAAGAAGCCTGCTGGCTTCGGTCCTTCTGGTGCTTTTCTTGGACAGTGTTTGTCTTTTCCTGGTGATGGCTTGAGACAAGAAGGTTATTTCCTGACACTGTTGAGAATGATTCAGTCGGAGCAATCTTAAAACTACCCCAGGACCATGTGTGGGAGCTGAGAGAAATGAGTTCATCCTTCCTACAAGATGTTATAAACAAGCCAAGTGCGCTCCGAACCCTCCTTGCCTGTCTAGACAGCAGACTTTAGTTGTTAGCCTTGGGAGACCACCATGGTCCTTTTCTTTCTTTTTTTTTTTTAAATCCTTAATTAGTTTAGTACCATAGAGTATTATACATTGAATGTTGCTGGGCCAGTGGTACTAAGAGTTTCTGGATGTTATCATAAGTCGATCCAACTCCTGGAATCAGAGATCTGGAAGGAACTTCAGGAGATCCGAATTTCAGAGCCAGAAGGATTTTAGAGACCACCTCATCCATTTCCCTCGGTCTAGTCACAAGGAAACCGAGGGACAGGGCAGCAGAGTGATCCCCTCAGCCAAGCAAGCTTCCAAGGCAGCATTGGAGCTTAGAGAGCTGAGACCTACTTTCCCCACACATCTCTCCTCACTTTCATGCTTCAGCATTTGCCTTCAACCAGGCTCAGGAAAACCGCTCTTGACTCTATTATACAAATCTTCAGTGAAGGAGACAGAACAACTTCCTTGAGAGACATCAAGCTTTGTGGCAGTAAAGTGAATAAAGAAGAATGCCTTTCCTGGAAAGCACTGCTCAGTGAATCCTGCTCATAGAGACATGGCTTATTCTAAACAAATGACTGATACACAGAATATTCCATTAGTGTTTGGTGTCAGAATCAAGGAGTGCTTCCAGCTCCTTCAAGCTGTGACATTTCCTGTGTTCATAGTCAGCTGATGTGGCTTTTAGAAAAACAAGCCTTAACCGTGGCTATATTAAGATGGTGTGACCTTCTTTGCTATTCTGGGACCCATCTTAGTTACCAAGTGTCAGCCTGGGCAAAGGCTTAAGAACTCCTTCCATCAGGATGGAATTGGAAATAAACTCTGACCTCACAGGTCCCATATTAAGAATTTAAGAACTCCAATAAATAAATAAATAGATAGATAGATAGATAGATAGATAAATAAATAAATATAAATAAATAAATTTAAGAACCCCTTAGACATTGCCAGGAGAGACTGCAGAGCCATGTTGACAAAGCGGCAGGTTGCGTGTCACTGTTGTGATTGGAAAGGAGTGCCCTGCCCCCCTGCTTCCCAGACTTGGGGAAGATTATGTTTCATTACATGGGCAGGCCTGCCAAGGCATAAGTGTAGAAAGGGGATCCAGGTCAAAAATGTCCTGCATCAGGGCGCCTGGGTGGCTCAGTTGGTTAAGCGACTGCCTTCGGCTCAGGTCATGATCCTGGAGTTCCGGGATCGAGTCCCGCATCGGGCTCCCTGCTCAGCAGGGAGCCTGCTTCTGCCTCTGACCCTCCCCCCTCTCATGTGCTCTCTGTCTCCCATTCTCTGTCTCAAATAAATAAATAAAAAATCTTTAAAAAAAAAAAAAATGTCCTGCATCAATCACTGTCCTGTTTAGGCCCAGCGCAAGAGCAGACAATTAGCAAATTGTTTGGGAGAAGAACCTACAGACGTTGGTTTCTGGGGTCATTCCTCAGAGCAACCCTAAGGAGGAAATCTTTGCTCTTGACCGTCTCAGAACAGGCAGCAAGGAGGACATCCTGTGTGGAATGGCTACAGCTCCAGGTGTGCCTCTCTTTAAGAAATCAGGCCTTTTCTAACCACGTGAAAAAGATGAAACCAAGCCAGTTGCTATGATAGTCAGCTTGACCCCCACCCCCCGCAGCACTTGGTTCTATGCAAACCACTTTTTTTAATTTATTTTTTTATTATTATGTTATGTTAATCACCATACAGTACATCATTAGTTTTTGATGTAGTGTTCCATGATTCATTGTTTGCATATAACACCCAGTGCTCCATGCAGAACATGTCCTCTTTAATACCCATCACCAGGCTTTTTCACCTCTGGGAGCTTTATTACTCTCACAACAAAGCTGTGAAGGTGTGTGTGTAATGTAATGGCCCATTTTATAGATGAGAAAACTGAGGCACAAAACAATGACTTGCATGACCCGAGGTCTCATGGCCAATGTGAAAACCCAGGTCTCTTACTTCCAGTTCAACAGAACTACTTCCCGTTTATGTTGTCAACATCTTCCTCCTCCTTCATTTAATCTGGGAGCAAGAAAAATTCTGGCCCACAGGGAGCCTATATTTCATAGAGAAACATTGATGAAAGGACCGCACAAATAATGGTGTGTTCCCGAGTTGGGTAAATGCCAGGAAGCAAAGGGGCCAAGTTCAGAGAGCCTGTGACCAGGAGAACTCACTCGGTGTGGCAAGGTCTGGCAAGGTCCGGGAACGCTGTGCTGCAGTGACACTTTACCTGAGAGCTAACAGCTGGGAGGGAGTTAACCAGCTGGAGGAGTGGACAGGGAGTTTGGGCAGGGAGGAGGGAAATAAAAGGCATGGTGCTCTTGAAGACCGAAAATACTGGAAGACTGGAACAAGATTGGAAAGGCCAGCCATGCAGTGCTTTGTAGGCTGAAATAAGGATCTGGGTCTTTATCCTGAGAGCAACGGGGAGCCTTTTGATGGAAACGGCTCTTGTAGTAAAACAGAAATGGTCTTGACAAGCAAGCAGAGGCCTGAGTCCTAGGCAACAAGTCTGTTGCCTCAATGCTAGGTGCCTTGCATGAATTTCTGCTCTTTCCTGAGCCTCTGTTTCCCCTTCTGCCTGGTGAGGGGAGTGGGTTGGACTGGTTCCTTTCAGCAGTCATGTGCCATGTTTCTGGGAGAGAGCAAGAAGTAATGTCTGCAAACTTGTAACCATCACAATCTCAAATATCACTTGCCCTGAGTTTTTGTTTTGTTTTGTTTTTTAAGTAGGCTCCACACCCAACGTAGGGCTTTGAACTCACGACCCTGCAATCAAGAGTCACATGCTCCACCAAATGAGTCAGTCAGGTGCCCCTGCCCTGAGCTTTTTAGGAGCTTGATGGTCAAAGCCTCAGGTGCATCCTGCCCTGGGCTCCTGCAAGGTGGTCCCTGGTTTAGACATAAATGGGGAAGGAAGGTTGCCATGTCATGTTATCATAACAGCCTCTGCCTTTCTCTCTGTCAGGGGCAGAAGGGAGATAGTGGAGTAACGGGCCCACCAGGCAAGCCTGGGCCTTCTGGTCAACCTGGCCGTCCAGGTCCCCCAGGCCCCCCGGGCCCCCCATCCACAGGTAAGAGCTACATTGCTTCACGTGATCTACAGTGTCGCCCTCCTGGCCGCCCTCCCCAGAGAGGGCACAAGGAGATGCTGCAGAGATGCCTTGTGTTTTGAGTTAGAAACTACTAGAGGCACTTCAACATATTTATAATTTCTCCACAGTTTGGGTCTTTCAACTTTAACACAAGAGAGGTAAAAGCCATCCTGATTCTGTTGTAGGATTTTAGAGAACAAATAGAGGAGAAAACAAAGGGAACCCTGATTACACTGGTGATGTCATTTTATACTTCAAGTGAAAAATAACCGGCACATATTTCATCAACAAATACCTTTTTCTAAAAAAACCTTTCACAACTCCAAGCAGTTCTCTTAGACCTAGAAGATGGTGTGGCAGAGCTTTCTATCTTATGTAGTGTTATTAAAGAGTCCTTGTTAGTTTATACTGAACATACAAAAAAATCATAAAAAGAAATCAAAGTCTACCATTGAAGAGGGCATAGAACACTGCTACCTTGCTTACCTTGTTTCATTTGATGACCTAAAGCCTTTCTTTAGTTTGTACCTTTGTCAGCTCCAAATACGACCTTTCACAGCACATTCAGCATCTCTGGGCCTGAGAAGACTGTTTACTACATAGGGTCCTTTGTCCTCAGTTATACAAAAGGAATCCAAGCAATTTTTATTACCATTTCAGTTCAAGGGTCTGTTGTAGTCCTCGTCCTCCTTGGTTCTGGCATGCGTAACATTCCCCTCAAGCCCCATGATCATGAGCTGCCAACCCCAGGGACCGAGAGTGTGGTGTGAGGCCCGAGTTTTGTCTTTGGAAGGGACTCTCTTGGCCCTTGGGGTATTGAGCGGCTCACAAAACTGAGGAGTAGCCAGGATCATGGCGGGAGGGGGTGGGGGGTAGGGGGTGGGGGGAGGGCAGTGTGGATGCAAAGAGAGGTCATTAGGCCAGCCCTCATTTTGTGTGTTTGTAAACGCCAGCCCTCATTGGACTTGAACCTCAGTTCCCTCCTGGGGTCCGAGGTTGGGTGAGGCCAGGACCTGGGGAACCTCAGCAACCTACTCAGATGCCCACTGTTTTGTTTTGTCAGGCTCCAGGGGACTGCCACCCCTTCCCTTTAGCAGGGCCAGTGTAGTTCTGTTTTCCTTCCTTGGTCTTCCAGCTCCTTCTCATTTAGCCAGTATGCACACCTCCCATTCCCCCCACTCTGTCCTCTGCCAGATCCCAGCCTCACCGCCCTTTACCCGCCAGCCAATTCTGCTCTCTGTTGAGCTGGAGCATATTCCTACAGTCTCTCTGGGTCCACATGGCCTGAAATAGCATCCCTATCATCCTCTGGTGTACCCAATGAAACCATCTCCTTCCTTCAAAGCCCTCTCCTCAGTAAGGCCCTAACATGGTGCGTCTCCTTCCCCTGGGCCCAAGTCACATATTGCCTCTCTGCTGTGGCCCTTCACTGCTAACTCTTCTGCAGCTGTGTTTCATCTTCCTTCTAGATGGCAAGTCCTTGAGGCAGCGTCTGTGGCCAAGTCAGCTTTGCATCCCCATGGCACCTGGCAGGTGGGATGGGCAGGGCCAGGTACTATAGGCATTCACAGACACGGGCCATTTGAGTTCTCAGTCCGTGCGTTATTGTACAGCAGCAAAGCCCAATGCAGTCTGTTTCTGACTCATGTCCCCTTCCTGTGCCTTCTTTTGAGTCACTTCCTTTCTGGGGATCCTCTCAGTGAAGGGACTGAAGAAAATGGAGCAATAATCCTGCTCTTTGGAAACATTTGGGGTAGGGTAGGGAAAGAAGAGGAGGGAGGAATTTAAAAGAGAACTTCTCTGGGCCTGGGGCCAATTGGATTATTATCAAGAATGGGAGCAGGCCCCAAAAGTGATTCCTGAGACTACCTTTGAAGGCTGATAAAAGTCCCAAGCCCACTCAGGAGAAACATGTGTCTATCTAAACCCAGAATTCTGTACAACTGCTTCCCAGAGTTCTAGAACCCCTGCCCCAAATCCATCTTGGGATGTGCTTGGTCTCTGTGGACCACAGGTCAAACAACCCTGGTCTTATCTTATCTAAAAACTCTCCTTTTATAGAAAAGAACTTTGAACCTCAGAGAAAAGGGACTTCCCCAAGGTCACAGAGCTGACTGGTGGGCCTAGAATCAGTCTGTGGCTCCTGGGTCTGAGACCTTTCCATTTAGCCATGCAGCCTCTGCAGAGGCAGAGTAGAAGCTGGGGGTGATGTGGAGACTATTCTGTGGTGCCTCCCCCTTCCCCCAGATTTCCCATCTCAGGCCCACTCCCACTGCACAGCCCGAGGCGGTGGGAGGCTCTCTGGGCAATGATGGAAAGCCAGGGCCAATGGCTACAAGGGATGATGGATCAGCAGGCCTGCTAGGCCAGCTCTGAGAGGCTGGGGTGGGGAAGTTCAAGTTGCCGTGCCCGTCAGTGTCTCCTGACAGGAAACCAGCAGGCAGGGGTGACAGATGTCCTCTGACAGCTGAAAGGAAGCTGCAGGAAAACTGCAGTGGTGGCAGGAAGCAGGCACCCTGCCCCATCCTGTCGTCCTGTCAGGAGGCCACCTCTGGTTCTGGTGCCCAGTGCTGTGGAGCAGGACGGTGTTGGGGCCAGTGGAGAGGGTGGGAGCTCTTTAGTACCCGAGTTAGAGAGAAAGAGGTGCTGGGAGGCAGGGAGGGAATAAGGCAAAATGCGTCTAGGATGTAATTTGCAATAACCAAATTATAAATTTGGCTGAGTCCTTCCAGCACCCAGACAGGGTCTAAGTGAATCACTGTGGTACCTGGGAATCGCCAGCTTCCTGCAGGCATCAATATTCTTGGACGTTTGTCTCTTGAATGGCATAGTGTTAAGTCGAACACGAATTCACATTTCAGCATCCCCACTAACCTAGCTGGATAATGGGATAAACTCCTGAATCGCTCTGAGGCCACAGATCTGGAGGAGTTGTTGGGGGTCACAGAGGCACTCTCATGTCCTCGGTTATAGAAATTCCCACTTCAGTTTCCCCACGTGGTGATAACCCAGAATATTCCTGGGTTAGTGGAGTCTCTGTCTCTCCGGGCTGTGCTGAAAACATCAGAACCCAAGACTGGAGCTCCTCCTGCAGCACTGGATGCAAGTTTCTTGTTCAAACGAACTACCACAACCTGGGATAAAAATGTTGGCAAGCCTCCCTTCCCCCCTTGCTGACATTATTCTGATCTTGGACATATCTGTTCTGGAAGATGTGTTCTGGAAGGGTTGTGGGGAGGGTATTCCCACTGGGGTCTCCTCCCCTAGCTGAAGCTGCTTCCTTGGGGTCTTGACCAGACCTCTCCCCTGGGGTCATTTTATTTTCTGCCCCTCTGGGATCTGCCAACTGTGACCACAGTTGTTGGCTCCCCTGGAAGTTATATAGCCTGAAAGCAAAGACTGCCTGGTCTCCAGACTCCCCCTTACTTTCCCAGGAGGAGGCACACTTCCTTTCTCTATCTCTGGCTTCCCTTTCTTCCCTCTCTTGTTGGAGGGCTTTCACTCTAGCTCTTTCTGGCCAACCCAAAGATGATCTTTAGTCTTTTCTGAAGACCAGTTAGTCCACATTCATTCAGTCAGTCAGTCAGTCATCAAGCCTGTATCCTGCCCCTACTGCGTGTCTGACCGTGGTAAACGAACACGGTACCAACCTTGCCTTTGTGGATCTTACACTCTACTGGGGGAGATTGACCTTCACCACCTAATCTCACAAGATACAGAAATCACAGACAGATGTGCGGTGAAGAAAAGGCATGGGGAGCTGTGAGATTGTATCCAAGGTAAACATGCCTGAGTGTGAGCATTCACAAGCTTTCCCTGAGGATGTAACATTGGAACCCAGGTCAGGAGCAAGCTAGGAGGCACGGAGGGTGAAGAGAGAACAATCTAGTGGGGGAATGGCTTGTGCAAAGACTGTTTCCTTAGACCAGCAGTTCTCAACCTCAGTGTACATTGGAATCAGCTCGAGAGCTTTTAAAAGCCACAGATGCCTGGGTTCTATTCTCAGCATTCTTGATGGAATCGGTTTGGGCTGTGGCTTGGGCATCAGGGCCTTTAGAAGTCAGGATGAAAACTACTACCCTAGCAGGCCACCCACACTGCAGGGAGTAAATTTCCTAATCATATATGTTTAGGACACTCAGTATCAGGGGACAATAAGTAGGTGGAGCATTTCCAACATGCCATTTTCTTCCAGAAGAAATAAAAAAAATCCACCTTCAGAAATTCCTTTGTAAAGATCTTATATATAAGAACAAAATAAAATGAATAAAAATAATAATAAAAGCTATCAGTTAGCGATGTGTTCATCAGCAAGAAGTCCCTGTTAATAATAGTCTTAAAAAAAGGGGATTGTTTTTCTCATATAACAAGGAAGTCCAGAGGTGGACAATGGCTGGCTTTGGTTCAGCCTCTAAGGGTCACTGTGAGGGTCCCATGTCCCATGAGGTTCTGGTCTTTCCTGTGTGTTGGCTTCTCTTCTCATACTTGTTACTTCATGGTTGCAATGTGGCTGCTGCAGCACCAGACATCTTGTGTCTTATAGACAGGAAGGAGAAGGAAACTGTCTCTTACCAGCAATGTTTTTCCTGTATCAGGATAGACTTTCCCAGATGCCTACCCTTCTCCCATCGCAGACCTTGAATGCAAGGTAGTCTGGGAGGTGGAATGACTGTTTCTCAAGTACAGAGAAATGAAAGGGAGAAGATACTGCAACACCCCTCATGGTTAAGGGACCCACAGAGAACATCACCTCCTCCACATCTCAGAACAAGAGTCTCTGAACCTCTTCCCCCAGGACTACCCTAAAATACTGTGGACTTTGACCTTCTTTCTGTTGTGAAGTTTGCTCACCTCTCCCAGGGCTTTTTGGTTTTCTCTTCCTTCACTCAAGTGACTCAGCAATCTGTTACTTCCTAGGACAACTTGTGATGGGACCCAAAGGGGACAGAGGATTTCCCGGGCCTCCAGGAAGCTGTCTTTGTGGAACCCGTATGAATGTGAATAACCCTTCCTACAGGGAATCCATGTTTGGGCCCAGTTCCCCGCACGTTCCTGTGGTAAGGCTCCTAGGAGAAATCTGGGCTGGTTCTCCATCAGGACCTCTCACCTGACCCTCTCAGAGCTTTGTAAGAGCCTTTTAATACAACAGATTTCCCCATTATACTTGGGACACACTCATTATGGGAGATTGGAAAATAAAGGAAAATCAAAAGTAGGAAACCAAATTGTCCATTTGGCTGTGGGTGCATTTTGAAGTATTTTCTTTGTCTCTTTTTAAGAACAAAAAAATATTTAAAATTTCAGGTAAATACAAAAACGGAAAAAATAGTGTAATAAACCTCTGTATCCTTCACCCAAATTCAACATTTATCAACTCCTGGCTAATCCTGTTTCCTCTTTACACCCACTCTCTACTGCCCACCCTCCCTTGGGGTATTTTGAGATAACCCTGGACATCAGTTCATCATTTGAGTGGACCCATAATCATCCATCCAACATGCGGCTGTGCTGTGATTTATTTAACCAGTGTCTCATTGTCGGATATTTATAGGGCTCTCTCAAACTTTTCACTAATGTAAATAAAACCATAATGAACACCTTTGAGTATAACAATTTTGTTAAGAATCATTTCCAGATGTTGAATTACTTGATTAGATGATACCACCTTTTTATTTAAGTCTTAGGGGCATTTTAAATGTTTAAAAAATTTAAGTCATAGGTAGTCTTTTTTTAAAAAGATATTTATTTGAGAGAGAGAGAGAGAATGAGCAGTGGGGAGGGGCAGAGGGAGAGAGAGAGAAGCAGGCTCCCCGCTGAGCAGGAAGCCCAATGCGGGGCTCGATCCCAGGACTCTGGGATCATGACCTGAGCCGAAGGCAGATGCTTAACCAGCTGAGCCACCCAGGTGCCCCAAATCATAGATAGTCTTACTGCAAACTCAGACAGTTGGAACTGGATTGAGAAGATGTGGGAATCAAGACCTTCCTCCCTATTTCAGGAGGAATGCTGGAGTGTAATATGCAGATGCCCCTCCCATAGTTAACATCCCAAGGATAGAGATTCTGTTTCCTCCTCCAGCTTTTCCCTGCCCATTATAGAAGTGTTTTCTGAAATTTTCACCAATGTGTTCTCTGGCAGATTTTTGTCGTCAACAACCAGGAGGAGCTTGAGAGGCTGAACACCCAAAACGCCATTGCATTCCGCAAAGACCAGAGATCTCTATACTTCAAGGACAGCCTTGGCTGGCTCCCCATCCAGGTACCATGAGGCAGGCACTCTGGACATAGCCCACCCCGAAAGGGACACAGCATTAGAGGAAAGAAGGGCCAACAGTTGGGCCTGGCGCAGAGCTTTCTGCAATCTGTTCCCGAGGAAGGCCTAGGCATCCTCCCTTGCTCTGCTTCTGAGCGGTTCTCCGTGCCCCTGCTCCCCAGATGGAACCTCTTCTCTGAGCCAGAGTTCCAGATGGGCTCCCATCCCCACACTGCCAGGCCGCTGTCTTGATTTGATCCAGCTTCCCTGTCAGCTGCAGAGCTCTGAGCGGCAGGAGAAGAGTGCCTCTCCATCACCACCAGGTGGAAGCCCCCACAGACCCAGAGCCTCTGGCCCCAGTGCCAATGACCCGTCCTGCCTGCGGTGCCCGGCATGCCATCCCTGGTCACTGCCATGTGTTTCTTTGGCCAGGTGACCCCCTTCTACCCTGTGGACTACACTATAGGCCACCATGGCTCCTGTGGGGATGGGGTCCTGCAGCCCGGGGAGGAGTGTGACGACGGGAACAGCAGCGTGGACGATGACTGCATCAGTGAGTGGGGCCCAGCCGGGGCGGGGGGTTGGGGGACGGGGGCGGGCGGGAGGTGCTGAAGCGCAAACTGCCACTGGGCGGGGGAGGCTGAGGGCGAGCCCCTGGATGATTCTAGAGCCAGAGGAGGGACACCTGGACTGCTCCCATTCTGGCCACATGTGGACCTCCACTGCCCAAGCATGTCGGTGAGGGTTAGTGTCAAGGATCTTGCCCCCAGAGAAGCCGCCAGTCGCTCCCTTTTCCTGAACCCTACTTCTGGGCAAAACCCACATTCCAGTCCACATTCTTTATCAAAAGATAAAGGTGATGCAGAGTGAGAGACAAAAGGGAGAAGCCAAGAATTTGAATCAGGACAGAGTTACCAGATAGAGCCCTAGTGGCGAAGCCCTTTCATGGGGCAGCAGCCTTCAGGCTGATGGGGTGCTACCAGGCCAGGCACGCAACAGGGCCCTGGAGGGTTTGCTGTTCTTCTTTTGTCAGTCGTGCCACAAAGCAGGAGGGGAGATAGAAAGCAGGGGATTTAGAGTCCGACAGAACAGAGCTTGGATGCTCAGAGAGGAGGCTACTCAGTGACAGGGGGGTTTGGAGGGCAGTTCACAGCTCCAGGTCTCTCCTCAACCGAAAAATGGGTATGACAGCACGGACGGCTCAGGTCTTCAGAGATTCTGTGAGCTAATGTGCACTGGATCGTCTGGGTAGAGTAAGGGTTCAACATCCCTTCGCTGAATTATTTTCCGGCCCCTGCTGTGAGGAGCCAGGCCCCGGCTCAGGGCTGGGGATGTGCAAATGCAAAGTCTCCTTCCTGGCTCTGGGAAGGCTGACGACACTGCAGTGGAGTGAGGAAGGTGTGCACAGGGATGGATGCAGGGACGGAGAGGCGGCTGGCGCCCCCGCGGTGCAGCTGTACTTCCCGTGACCAACGCGGGATGGTGCCCCCTGGCATGCCGGCTTTGCCTGGAGGCCCTTCTGCCCCGGCGCAGACACCATCCGATAGATCACACAGCAGGAAGGAACTGAGGGGGTCTCAAAGCCCCGTAAAATGGGGGTGGGGCTCGGACTCCAAGACCCTTCCCTTGCGTGACAAAAGAGACCCCACTGAAGATCATCTGGCTCCCCAGGGACACAGAGCCACCCACCCTGGAAGGTCTCTGGAGACAGACAAGAGCCACCTCGGTCATCACTTGTGCCCAGTGCTCAGTCTGCTGATCCTCACTTCACGGGAACCCACAGTGCGTCCTGTGAAGAGGAGGTGGTAGCCACATCCCAGGCTTTAGATAGGGATATGGAGGCTCAGAGAGGCCAAGTGGCCTGTTCTTGGTCCGTTGGCTACTGAGTAGCTGCAATTGGCTAGAGCCTGGGTCTCCTTAGTCTCTGGTGTGGGATTTGGGGGTCTGAGGGGCCGTCCCTGGATGCATCTGAAGCTTTGTGGAAGTCCATTCAAGAGGGTGCATGCTCTGGGGGGATCCTTCAGGCCACACAGTCCTTACAGGCTGAGGTAAGCCTGTCCCACCCTAGCCCCCTCTCAGGGCTACTTCCTTGTATCCCTCAGGCTGTCACCGGGCCTACTGTGGAGACGGTCACCAGCACAAGGGCGTGGAGGACTGTGACGGCTCTGACTTTGGCTACCTGACCTGTGAGACCTATCTCCCTGGGTAGGGATCACCACATGTGCTATTCTGACACCCTGCCTCCCTCTCTGCCTGCCTCCTCTTCTTTCCTTCACAAATGTTTTTTTTAGCGCTTATGTTCTTTCTACTCTCTAAACATTGAGGTATGGTGATAGTTAACACATGGTCCCTGCTCACTAGGGGAGACAGGCCATAAACATAACCACCATGTGCCTCTCAGAGTGCCTGAGTGCCACCGAGGCCAAGCTGAGACAGACAGTGACCAGCTCCATCCTGGGCCCTTGGGAACCGGCAGTCTCTATTTCAGCGGTTGCCCCCAGATGAGCAGCTCCCATCCCCAGTGGCTACCATGACCACGTTAGTCTTCTGGAAAGTGGGTCTGGAGGAAGCCCAGTGGAGAGTGGAGGGACCAGGGCATTCCCAAGAACCTAAGCATCTGTATAACCTGAATTCTCTGGGACAACCCCTGATTCCCGGGCCTGTGGGTGCAAATGAGATCACAACAGCATTAATATTTAATTTTGCTGGCTCATGGCTCCTCCAGGAAAACCCCAGGAACTTAGTATCCCCTTCAAGGACCTCTCTAGTTATATCTGGGACTCTCCAGTGGGTGTTCACGTTGCTCAGAATAAGTATTCTAGTGTCTTGACCTCCATGTTGATGTCTCCGAAGACAGCTGAGGGCCACTAGCACCATGAAATGCAAAACAGCACCACATTCCCCTTAATCCTTTCAAAACCAGAGTTGTATAGCATTCTAGGGGAAATGGGAAGGCTGTTCCACCCTCAGTTCTTGCTTCTTCCTTGGCTCCAGAGTGGATCACTGGCCCCTCACACCTCTTCAGTCCCTCAGGAGTCCAGTCTCTTCAGCGTTCCCTTCCAGCCCTGTTCCTTGGACCCAGCCCTCCGCAGGGCTGGGAAACAGCCACCAGGCCTGTCGTTCTGTCGCCTTCTCTCTGCTCTCTCTTCCAAGGAGGTCTCCTCAATGTCCACCCCCTGAACACACACCAACACACCAAACCAGGCTGGGAGAACTACAGACCTATAGTCACCCCAAAACAAGCACTTTAGGCTTGGTCAGGATGCCCCCTCCACCCGTATCTGTGTGTCTGTATGTACTTCCCTATCTCTGAAGTGTGGAGGGCTCCTAACCTGCCAGAGAGTTGGCAGGTCTGAGCTGGTTGGTTGATGGCTTCATGGACACAACTCAATATAGACAGCTGAACGTGGAGCACAGGATTGCATAGAGCCCAGAGCTTACCCACTGGCTCACTGTGATTACTCGTCTGATCTCTAGAAGCCTCAGAGAATGCTTGTGAATATGGGTGTAATGTATAACACACGGTGAGGATTAGCACTTGGGCTTACAGAAGTATAAACTGCTGTCCAATATGGTGGCCCCCAGTCACATGTTGCTATTTAAATTTAATTAAAAATAAAATTAAAAATCTAACTATTCAGTCACAGCAGCCTTATTTTAAGAGCTCAGTAGCCACATAGGGCTAGTGGCTGCCATAGTGGACTGCACAGAAATAGAACATTTGCATCACCACAGTTATGATCTAATGGAGAGCACTGAAACCTTTCAGGTCTTGAGAAGGGAGTGATTCTCTCAAAGATGCTGTGTTAAGAACAAAGTTACCAACTCTTTCCACCCAGATCCCTCAGCTGGGCTCTGGGGGAAAAGTCCCAGAGGCCTGGACTCAACTGCCCCAAGCCTCTCACCCCAAATGAGAATGAGAACAGTCTCTCTGGAACCCTTAGGTAAGGTAGCAGCCATGGTTGCTGTCTGATGAGCTTTGACCAAAAGTCACCAGAGGTGGCCTTTTAGAACCTGGTGTGGTCGTGAGGGCTGGGCAGGAGCTCCCCTGCCCACTGGCCCGTGAGCGCCCTGACCCCTGTCTACCCCCCCTCAGGTCGTATGGAGACCTGCAGTGCACCCCGTACTGCTACATCGACTCCACGTCCTGCCGCTACTTCACATGAGGGCCGCGAGGAGGAGGAGGGCTGCGTCTTACGTAACCGGCAGCAGCTCCTCCACCCTCAGCAAATTGACTTCGCGCCATCCTGGTCCAGTTTCCACCACCTTCGTGCGACAACAACAAGGACAAACTCTTGCTGCTAAGACATGCTTGTAACTCAGTCCGACTGGAAGAACTTAGGACTACTGCATCCTGTCTTAATCCAGAGTCCAGGAAAACCTTCCACGTGCCCGACCCGGGAACTGTTCCCCATTGCTACCATCTGGCCGAATAGCCAAACCTACAGTGCCCTTTCTCTTCTGGAATGTCACTGACCCACACCATGGACTTGGCTTAGAACTGTTAGCCCCACCTAGACCTGCAGGGCCTTTTGAATTTGTTCTCCTCCCGCTTGGGGCATCTGGTGTACAGGCCTCTCCACTCCTCTGATCTCTGGAAATGTGGGCATTCTCACCCAGGGCAGTCGGCTGTCAGGTCTCTCCAGGCCCGTGAACCACAAAGCAGGGAAGTGGGCCCGTTCTCTCGGAGTGGCTCCCAGCTCTGGACCCACTGAGGAACCCCTCAATTGGCTACGGCCCAGCACAGCCTCATGTGGATGCAGCTTCCCCAACAAGAGACCCAACTGTGAAAAGGTCCTGAGAAAGCCACCAAAATGGTGCTCTGGCCCTGGAAGAGGGTGGAGGCCCAGCTGGGGTGCTCAGCATGTGAACAATAGCAGATCAGTGGCCTTCTGCTTCTCAGTGTTTCCCAAAGGGGTAGCCCTTGTGGTTTCACTGTCCCCAGCACCATCGTGACCTTGTGGCCCTCGGCACCTTGACCTCTGTCTTGCAAATGCCCCTTATGTCCCTTTCTTGTTCAGGAAATTCACTACCAGAGGGTGACCTCCTAAGTCTACACCTGGGCAGGCTTTTGGTGTTTCCAGTCCTTAGGAATGCACCACTCTGGGTTTCCCCATGTGAGGCCCTATGACTGAGTACCTGCCCTAGGCAGAGACCATTTCTCCTGAGCTCCAGCTCCTGGCTACCTGCTGACTCCTGTGTGCATCCCGTGGCCTTCCCTTTGTGTCTCTGTAGTGCATTGCCTTGCCCTCATGTCTGTGTGCCTGAGCCCCCCCACGTTTCTGCAGGGTCGTTAGTCTGGCCTGTCTGTGAGCTGCCTTATACCACCATCTTTCCTGAGTGGGGCTTGCTTAGCTTTGGTTCGCAAAGATGTCTCCCCCATGGCAGACCTCAAATGGGATTTGTCTATTTGTTACCAGATGGAGGGACGCTTTGGGGCTTTTGTACGAAGCTAGTGTGCCTGAGTCCTAGGGACTCAGTAGACAGGAGCTTCTGGCCCAGCAGACCATCACTAGTGGTCTGTAGTAGATGGGATCAGCCCAAAGGTGATGTCTTTAGAGGTGGGCACACTGGTCAGCCCAGTTCCCTCAGCCTCTACTGCACACCTTAGGGTGATATTGCCCCCATGTAAAGCTACACCTTCATGCTGGATCTCCATATGGGAAATCAAGAAATACAAGCAGTTTGTTTCCCTCACTGTGGCTCTCTTTCCCTTGGGGTTTTGGGCCAGTGTCCCAGCATTACTGTTTGGAATGAGGGGTCTGAATTCACTGCCTCCCAGGCTTTGCAAAGGGTTCTAGAATGTGGAGCAGTACTGTCCCTCAGGGACAAGGGAGGAAACCGATGTTGAGAGAGATGGAGGGACTTACCTAAGGCCACAAAGCCTGCTCTTGCTAACCCAGCGCCACTCCAGCCTTATTTTAGGACCACAATTAAAACAAGATGGAGCTCCAGCACTGCCCTTGGTTGGACCTGGCCACGTAAGGCCCTGTCCCGGGTCCCTTGCCTTGAAGGGCACCAATCTGGCCCTCCTCTGGCCATGACCCTCCCCACAGGTCAGGGAGTCTATGAGGCCAAGGTGACCTTCCCACTGTAGCTTGTGCACCCCTCTCCCAGACCATGATCCAGGCACCCAGGAGACCACAGTTCCCATCCAGGTGGTCCTGAGCAGGCCTCTTTGCCATGTCTGTCCTCCTGAGTGTGACCTGCACACACCTGGGTGGCCAGGGACAAGCTGTGTTTAGAGGTTGTAGATGGGGCTTGGATATGCGGGCTGGGGTTTCCACACAGATATACACGAAGCCCCTTTCAGTGTGGGCTGAGCCTTGTTCTCCTTGTGCCACCACAGAACTTTGAGGAATCTAAATATTCCAAATGCAAACCCAGCCTTCCAGGTCTTATGAAAGTGTGACTGTCAAGTAAGCAGAGAGACGTATTTAATAATAGTTTGTTAGATTGATTCTAACGTAAATACTTAGACATGTGGGGTGTGAGCCTCCATCTGGGCTCTTGTAACCAGATCCCACGATATTAGAGGTCGGCCTGTCTCCGACTATTGCAAGGGGTTTCTGAATGGCTCTGAAAATGAAAGGATTCAAAGCCACTTGTTTGAAGTATATATAACAGTAGTAATCCTCCCCCTGTGGCATTGTGATTTTTTTTTACTTAAATTCAATTAATTCACATATAGTGTATTATTAGTTTCAGAGGGATTCAGCAGTCTTGTATAACACCCAGTGCTCATGACACAACGTGCTGTCCTCAGCCCTCCCCTGAAATGCTGTGGTACAGGGGGCAGCTTCCTCAGGACCAGGGGCGCCTTGTGCGCAGGCCAGGTGGCCACAGAATAGGTAGCCAAATGTCTCCTGGGAGCACTTGCTGGCCCTGTGTGGAGCCGAGGTGCTGCAGCGGGGAGGGAAGAGCACTGTACCGGGAGTCCTGACACTGGGGCTCAGACTTGGTTTGTCACTTCTCACAGACACCAACTCCTTACCTGGAAGAAACTGTACACAAGTTTCTTTCTTCCAGCCCTAACATTTTGTGGGTGGGGACTCTGTTCTCCAGCTGCTCCTGAGGCTGTCACATGGGTGGCTGTGAATATCGTAGGGTCTTCAGAGCTGCAGCTGAGTCACCAAAAAAGGCTATGCCGGTTTAGATGCTTTTGTTGGTGGGTAGCAGAAAATCCAACTTAAATATAATATAAACCACAGGGTGGAATTTATTGGCTTATATAACTTAAAAATTCCAGTGGCAGAGTGGAGATCAGGCATGGTTCAATCAAGGCTCCCACTCCATTTCTCTGCTTGAGCTGTCCTCTCTATCTCCTGTTAGTTTGATCCTTGGGTAGTCACAAGCTGACTATTGCAGTTTCAGGCTTACATCTGTACCCTATAATATCCAGAGGAGGAGAGAACGTCTATTCCAGTGGCTCTCAAATTTTTTATTCCAGAATCCCCCCCAAAAATCTTACCTTGAGCCTCGTTGCCTGTTTGGGGTCACATGCCCATTCATTTGTTATTGTCAGGAGAATACCACCTAATTGGATTATAGCTGGGTTCCTGAACCCACGGAGGCAAAAGGTGTTAAGATTATTCCTTGCCCACTCCCTGGGGATTCTCCAGAAGCACATCAGCTGTGTAAGGAAGGGGAGGCTATTGGACTATATAGTGGGGAGCAGGTATGGGGTGAATGGGTGCTGGGTACACATCACAGTGGCTGTCTCTGGTTTTGCTTTTCCTTTTGGCAGGAATAGGTGCTGAGCCTTTGGGGCAAACATTTGGGAATATTTCTCACATCTAGAAAGCTCTTGGCTGATTCCAACAATCTACTTAAAAGAGGTCGACTCTCCTAGGGAGCCACAGGTTGTGAAAGAGGTGGTATAGTTTGCTTTTGTGAAAAAAAGAGAGGATCAGATTCACCTATCTGGGTTTGAAGCCTGTCACCAACTCCCTGTTTAATTATCCTGCATAATTTGCTTAACTTTTCTGAGTCTGTTTTTCTCATCTTTATACTGGGTTATTTCAGGGTTGTGTTGAATTTTAGTGATAATATGGTTAAAATTTCTGAAACCTAGAAACTCTTTAGGGAGGGTTGGGTTTTATCTGTGTCATTATTATTTAGTGACTCAAGCCGAATCACTCACCTCTTTGGGACCTGGGGTTTCTTTCTTCCTGCTTTGAGGCTGGTTATGAGTTCACTTTTTTTAATTTTTTTAAAAGATTTTATTTATTTGACAGAGAGAGACACAGCGAGAGAGGGAACACAAGCAGGGGAGTGGGAGAGGGAGAAGCAGGCTTCCCGCTGAGATGGGAGCCCGATTAGGAGCTCCATCCCAGGACCCTGGGATCATGACCTGAGCCGAAGGCAGACGCCTAACGACTGAGCCACCCAGGCGCCCCAAGAGTTCACTTTTGACAGCTGTTTGGACCAAAGCCTTTACTACAAAGCAGTGAAAAAGAGCAGCAGTTCTCAAACTCTGCCTTGAGCCTCGTTGCCTGTTTGGGCCTGTTTGGGAATCTCATCAAACCAAGAAAGACAAGATTATGGTAGGACTTGGGGAGGGGTGGAAGTGTAGGTAGAAAATGAAAGAAGCATTGCGGGGACAGGCTCAAAGCAAAGCGGGCTGTGTATAAAGGGGTCAAGATCAAGCCTGGACTGGGAAGTGGACCCAGGTCCTGATTCTTTGGAGAACTGCAAAGTTAAGAAAAGCATGGACTGTTGTGGCTGGAAGTCCCTATCAGGATTTCTAAATCTAGGGTAGAAATCGAAACCGCTTCTCTGTGTCAAAGTGACATACGGCTCAGGTCTTCCAGGCAAGAGTGGAAAGTTTCATTCTTACTGATAGGATTGCAAACTGCAAAGTTTTGACAGCCCAAGATTTTAGTCACAAAGGTTGACAGTGATTTGGTTCAGGTGGCAGGAGTAAAAAGCAAAGCTGGGCTGTCACTGAAAAGAAAGCAGTAGTCACTCAAAGAAAAGAGTGATTATGATACTGTAGGCTGATGGCTTCCTGTTACCTTTGCTGCTTTATCAGGGTCTGCTCTGGCAGTCTGATGAATGACAGGGTGCAGAGCTGACTTCTCCCCTCTCAGTCTGGACTGGTTTTTTACCCTGTCACCAGTAACGGATGCCCAAGCTCTGTTCAACAGATCCCCAATGATCCAGTCTGTGGCTAGGCCTCTCTAGGTCAGCCCACAGGCTCCTAACATGACCAGGGAAGCGTGGGGAGGGGGTTTGGCCCCAGACGTCTTTATCCACCTGCAAAGCCATTTGAGTGACAAATTTGTTATCGAAGTAAGGTCTTTAGAAAACGTTAGTAACTAGTACTTAGGAAGCAGTGCTTGGGAAGATGGTAGGACAAATTTTCTAAGCATCATGGGACAGATACACTGGTCATCCATCACTCTAATACAGGCCTGGAGGACACATGGGTCAAATTGCTCAAGAAATCTCCAAACCTCATAATTAATGGGCCAACCATGCTCCAGTGACTGCTTTACTTGAGTTGTCCCCCTCTCCTTTCCTCCCCTGTAGTGGAGTGAACCAATTTCAATGAAACTCAGATCTTGCATTTGTGTGGTAACAATGAGCTCACAGATCAAGGATCTTGGCAAGTCATCAAGGAGACTGTTATACTTCAGCAACCCACAGTTACCACCCATGGGCCCAGAGGCTCCAGGAGTGTGGTTTCCATCTCCATTTGTAACCACTCTGAGAGGCTGCAGATCACACAAGAGTAATGGGTTAAGGACTCCCCACCCCACATCATCCAGTTCCTTCCCTCCCCTGCCCCTGGGGTGGGGGGAAACAGAGGAAGAGAACTCACACTGCCTTTATCAGAGGGGATTCCTCTCTGGGGGTTCACCTCAGTTCTTTGCAGCCCCGGACAGTTGACTTTTGGAGTCAAGACAGCTCAACAAGAAACAAACTCACTAAAGGAAAAATGGGCTATTTCCCCTGCCCTCTGTTCCCCTTTGTCCCACTACCTTTACAAAAAGAAATAGGGGTCCATGTAATAATGAAATCCTGCTGCCAAGATGCTGGTATCTCAAGAGAATTGGTCATTATTTTGGTCTTGCCATCCTTCTACCCCCTCAATACCTCTTCTGGAATTTGGGTTTTGACGTTCTGACTCATAAGGAGTACCACACCCCACTGCATGTGCTACTCCAGGTTATTCTCCATCCAACACCTAGCACGGGAAATTGAAGGCAGTCATCCCTAGTCGTGGATCATCACTTGAGGCCCATCACAGGAGACTGTCTTCTTAGGGCAGAGGTTTAAAGCTTTAGGGTTTATAAGGATGACCTGAAGGCTTGTCAAAAGAGATTACTGGGACCCACTTCGGAGTTTACGATTCAGCGTGGTGGGACTTGATAATTTCTATTTCTAACAAGGTCCTGATGGTGCTGGACCCAGGGACCACATTTTAAGAGCCACTACACTCTGGGAAAATGTCTCATCTGAGACCAAATACACTGGGGGAGAGGAGGACTTTGGGTAGGTGGCTTTTTTAATACTCTTCCATTAAGAAGGAGTCCCTTCCTCTTGAATCTAGGTCGGCTTTTGATGGTTCAGACCAACAGAATACTGTGGATGTGATGCTGTGTGACGTCCAAGGCTAGGTCATCTACGGCCAAGCAGCTTCTTGGGACACTCATTCTAGGGGAAAGCAGCCATCATGTAGGAAGACCAACTACCTAGAGACTGCCATGTCAGAGAGGCTCTGCTTGATAGTCCCAAATGAACCTGCTTCCAGCCATCCCCACCATGGTGCCACACGTGTGAGTGAAGCCAGTTTGGATTCTCCGGTCCTGCCCATCTGCCACCTAAGTAACACTGAGCGACCTCAATCAAAGCCCCAAGGAGAATTGCCCAGCCAAGCTCTATCCTAAATCCTAACCAACAGATTCCAGGAGATAAAATGGTTTTAAGCCACTAAGTTTTAGGGTAGTTTGTTCCTTAGCAATAAGTAACAAATAGTGCTTTAGGTTGGAAAGCTTAGCGAGGAAGCCAACTACTCTGAACAGGGCAAAGTGCGAAGTCCAGAGGGGCCGCTGGCTTGGCTTTGGTGCCCTCTGCAGGAACCATGAATAGAAATTGGCCTTAACTCCTACGTGGACTTTTATTTATCTGCCCAGGAGAAAAGTCAGGCCGAGAGGGGACTTAGTGATCGTATGGCCCAGGGTTCTCAACCGTGGTGGGGATGTGGGGATGTGGAGGTAGTAGACTGACTGCAATAGCCGCCTAATTCTCACACCTCTCCAACGTACTTTGCAACTCCTCCCATCCGCTGGTGGAAGGCACGGTATTTGCCCACCCCTTGATTCTGAACCTGACCCTGCGACTTGCTTTGGCCAATGACATGTTAGCAATTGTGACAGAGGCAGTGGTGTTTTCTCTCTCAATCTGGCACCTCTGCCTCCGCCATGACAATATGCCTATGCTAGGCTGCTAGATGTTAAGTCACATGGAGCCCACCTGAACTGGCCAAGGCCATCGTGGGTCAGCTGAATCTGTCAACTGCCAGACATACGGAGCCCGGTCAAGACCAGACTGTCCAGGCACTCCCAGTCTAAATCATCAATCCAGACTTGTAAGCAAAATAAATGCTTATTTTAAGCCACTGAATACTGGGATGCTTTGTCACCTACCATTGTAGAGGCAACAACACTTAACTCGGGATCAAAGTCCCTTAAGTGATGAACATACACTGCCACTACCCCAGAGAGTCCTGGTTCGAGTCTGACTCCTATTTCCACCTGACGAAACGGAAGCCAATTGCAGAATAAGCAGCAGAGGATTCCTAGCCTAGTTCTTTCTCACTTTTTTTTAAAGATTATTTATTTATTTGAGAGAGAGCAAGCACAAGCGGGGGGAGCAGCAGAGGGAAAGGGAGAGGCAGGCTTCCCGTGGAGCAGGGAGCCCGATGCGGGGCTCGATCCCAGGACCCCGGGATCATGACCTGAGCCGAAGGCAGACACTTAACCGACTGAGCCACCCAGGCGCCCCCAGCCTAGTTCTCTTAACGTGTAATTGTAGTCAATCCAAATCTATGGAACACCCATTTGGTGAAAGACACTAGAGAATTAAAAGGGTCGCTGCCCACCTAGAAGTTTATAGACCACCTGGAGCCAAGACCACAGGACTTATGTGGGCCCTGCTGTATGTGGAATGGAAGCAGGAGGCAGGATCACTTCCAGCCAGTGATGTCTGTGAGGACGGAGGAGTGGCATGGCAGTGCGGGTGGAAGGAACCTGTGAGCTAAAATGACTAGGCTATGTCTACGCATTCAGTTTAACCCGTGCGTGGTTCTCAGATTCAAAGCTAAGCTGCCTTTCCAGACCAAATAATGGCCTCAGGTGCCATTTGGCTTGCTAAAGACAACCTTTAGTTTTGAACTTCACACCTTTCAAGACTGAGGTGTTTATCCTAATGATCATAAACACCAAATTAAAAAGGATTCCATTTCGATAAAGTAGGCTTAAGTATAAAGGATTCTTAATAGAATCCTACATTTTTCATTGATTCCTAGTAAGAAAATAAAATCCACCAAGGCATGGAGTGTATTGCTGACCTTTTTTTTTTACTTAAATATAGTGATCTTTAAGAGAATAAACCAAAAAAAACTTTACACAGCAAATATTTTACATAAATGTAAACATACACATCTACTTCATAATTATGCAAAATAAACTTTTAGGCACAAGATTTTAAAAATCATTAAAGAATAAGACAATGAATCCAAGACAGGACAGAAGCAACAAAAACACATTTCATAATGCTTCAATTGATCTTGTCTTCCAACCTACTGGTTAAGGCCTGAGTTTCAGAAATCCTACCTTCTTTGCCAAATGGAAACATCCAATTTGGCTGTACCTAATATACATCCACATAACAGACTATTATCTTTCAAAATAATGTAATAAATACATCTCTCACACACATACAAACACCCCCATACATACACCCTACTTAACCAGCCTCTCAATAAAGACAGCAAGGATTCTGGAATTTTCAAGTTTCCCCACCACTGAAGCACACACATGTTAATTCCACACACAGAAAAAAAATGATTCTGCTATAGAAATAAAGTAGTTAATGAGTGGCATCATCACAAATCTTTAGTTTGTATTAAGTTTCCCCCAAATCACATCTTTACTGTGGCTTGCCATGGCTCCTTGGGTACCTAGGATTTAAGTCTTTATACCTTGCCTAATGACCCACAGAATGGTAGACGTTATACAGGACAAAGAAGAGGCAATTTTAACAATTCAGGTAGAGACTTCAAAACCATGAAAATCAGCATGGATTGTTTCCAGCTGTCCCCAAATGCTTGGAATGTTTTCTCCATGTCTACCCTCCGTACTCCACTGGCCGGTTTTCTCTGCCTCCTCCCCACCAGGCTATAAGCATCTGAATGTCTAGTCCTGTGAACACCCCAGGGAATAGAGATGAGAATGACAGTCCATGCTTTTAAGGAGTTCACACCAACCAGAGCTCAAGCAAGAGGAAGGTCAGTACGTCCACACAGCACCCGAGTGGGCTGAAACGAGCAGAGGAAGAGGCCACGAGGATGGCATCTCCAGAGCATCAGGACTGGGGCCTGGCGGGACGGGGGGGGGGGGGGGGGGTACTGAGAAGGCACAGAGGCACAAAGAACAAATCCAGTGAGGCTGGCACGAGGTTACACATGAGAAGTAGTCTGTGAGGCCAAATTCTTGATTTCCAAAAAGAAAAGATTCCTTGTTCTGGTGGGTAAAGCTGGAGGGCCGGGGGAGGGAACCACCGAGGGCTTTGTGCAGAGAACAAACTGGAAACGGGCTAGAGGAGAACAGTGCAGTGTCAGGTAGGACGGGTGACAGAGGAAAGGGTCTGAAGCCCAGAGAGCTCGACTTGCCAAACCCAGTGCCACACGCCAACATGCCCAACATGACCCAACATGCCAAAAGCCACAGCTCTGTCTGTCTAAATCAAGACTTTGGGAGAACAAAAAAAAGAGTGAGAGAGGAGTTTAAGTAGATATTTTTAGTTCAAGTTCCTGGAACCTGCCCCAGCTTGAGCAAGTTAAGAGCTGTGAAACAAGTCCCACGTGCAGTAACAAGTCAAGTCTCCCAATCGTGACCTTCACCTTCCCTGAGCTGTCATTACCAAGGAATTATAAAACAATTATCAATTCATTATAAATTCCTACCTGCCATTACATGCACTGAAACCTCACGATGGGCGGAGCACCCAGCACAAAGTACTGGTGTGTTAGCCTATTACCTACACTAGGTGGGGCGGTGTGAGTGCGCCACGGGATGACGGCGCTGGGCCCCCATCTCCAGCTCACCGGAGCCCCTGTGTGCATCAAACAGGTGGCTCAATAAGGTGCGACTCTCACCAAAGCCCCCACCGTGAATCATCTCATTCCTTTCCAGGTCCAGACTGCTTCCATCCACTAGCGGGGGATGCAGAGGCCATCTTTGAGTGGAGGAACCCAAGGAAGGAAAATCAATTTTAATGTTTGCGATACCCACTGAACCAAAGTAAATGGAAATTTCTCAGGACCTTCCAACTGTATTCATTCAAATTACAGAAATGGGCTACTCCATACTAATCACGGGACAATTTATCACACATTCACTAAATATGGAACATTTACTAGTGACCACTTCCCTGTAACAGATTCATTTGGAAACTGCACACTGCAAAAAGGCAATCTTGTGACTTTCTTCTAGTTGTATATCAAAAATACAAATCGGTCTGGGAGTCAGGCACAAACAGTGGTAGAAAAGCATGAACAGAAATGCCTTCTCAAAGGATGTGCTCATTTCATATTGCAGAACTGCTTCCTATCTAGATTCTGGGTTTTTGAAAACCTGCTGCTGGTTCTCTTGTTCGGAAAGGTTCCTTCACTACACCTCTCTTCCACTCCTACCTCCCCCTACTAAAATGCACTGAATGAAGAACGCTTAGCATGGATCTACGGAACTAACAGCCCCCATCTGACTGCATCTCACGCATCAGCGCAGTGGCTGCTGGTCTGACGTGCTCATCCAGCCTCATGTATTTAGTGACTTTTTGGATCAGAATTTGAGTCAGAAGTACCCAACACTTTTGTCTTTTGCAATCCAATAAAAGCTCCGATGTACAACTATCAGTGTCATGTATAAGAATCTCCAGTTCCAATAAATGAGATTCAAGGGAGGGAGCAGCAGGGAAAGCCTGGACTGGGGGCAGGAGACCGGCCATCAGCCAGTCGTGGGCTTCTCTTTCCTTATTTGTAAATGAGGAGGTTGAACTAGCAGAGCTCCAGGGTCCTACCTGGCGGATGCTCTAGGACGCTTTCTCAAAGTCGGTTCCTACACAGGCTTATCAGGTTGGGTCTGACAAAATTTCCTTACCACTTTGTCTCAACAGTGTAAAGTGGTTTTAACATACTTCTATGCTGCAGTTTGAGGTTTCCCTCTCTCTCCTACCCCTCAAAGACCAGGTTTCATTTCACTGGTGCAGACCACTTAGCCAAACTGGTGGCTGCTGAGGTTTAAAACGGAATCACTGGCCCCCTAAAGATAATGGCCTTTGAGTAACCTAGACCAGGGCACATTGGTCTGTTGTCTATGAACAGTGTTAACCAAATAGAAATATAATTCTGTTAGTTCTTCCATAGTTCTACTTTGCAACATGAGATTGTTCAAAAATTACACGAGAAAATCACCCATCACCACTAAGTTAAAGACTTGAATGTCTGAGACCTCCAGAGCCTCAAACTCCTACACAGTCACTGATCCACAGCGTGTCCCTCTCAGCACGCGGCTCCGTGCGAGCGCAGCCTGGTCCAGCAGCACATCTGTGCACGAGAAGCTGATTTCGAAAGATCCGACTCTAGTCATCACTGTCACTGCCAGACTCACTCAACTGCAAGTCATTTCCTATAAAAAGAAAACAGAATCACACCAAAAGTGCACAACTTCAAAAGGACTTCCCCACAATTCTTTGTTTGACTGCCTTGGTTATCACACTACAGTAAAACCAAGCCAATTCCACTTAATTAGGGAGGAAAATCAATTTGGCTCAGTGACAAAGCTGATGCAGTCAACATTTTTAAAGAAATGCTATTCTTGGTAGCTGCAAAGCACAGCAATGCTGCTCACTGGGATAGAACAGGCGAGGAGCAGGCCAGACAACTTTTAAATGTGTTAATAAATAGCAAGAAAGCATTTATAAATAACTCATTCACCATCTAGAATTGTCCACATTAGATTGCTTTATAAAAGCTAAAATAACACAGAGTTAGGCTCCCTGTTAAGGAAGCCGAATACTGTTTATACCAGGAACACGCTAATCCAGGATCCCCTCTGGGACATCTCTGTTCAGGATATTCATGTTACTTTAAACCTCAACTCAACTAATGAGCTTTTGTAAAGCCTCCGATTTTTGTTTAGTGTGCTCAATTTAGGAGTGAAGAACAGAAGTACTCAACATTTCAGTCTCAGATGATAATAAAAATAACAGGACCCCAGCTGATACCACAAAAGTGAACTACAACATGACCGATTGCTAATCCCTGGGCCAGCTCTTCTCAAACTTTGTTCTGAGGACCCTGGGTTCCCTGGGACTCCTTCAGGAGGGTACTTCCTTTTCTA